CGGCTGTCTCCGCGCGCGCCCGGCCCGAGCCCCCTCCCGGCCGTGGGACGCGCTGTCAGGTCGCCCGCGCTGCCACTGCCCCGGTCCCTCGGTCCCTGCTGGACCTCTCCGCTTGCGTCCTGCTCACCCTCCAGTCTCGGGCCCGCTCTCTCCCCTCTCGCCGTCTGTCTCTGCCTCGATTTCTCTGTCTCCCTCTCTTCCTCCCTCCCTCCTTCGGGAGACACCACTGGAGGGCGCCTAAAGCCTGCGGATGGCTCCCACTGCCCCTCTCCCCCCGGGGGTGGACCAATTCCCGGTCTTAGGGGCCAAGGGAGAAGGGCAGAACTGTCCCAGTCCCGTCTGCCCCATCACAGGCTGGACTGAGCCGTGTGGGAAGAAAGAAGCCAAACCCTTTGTCTTTCGTTCAGGCTGCTTTATTCTTCTGTGGCTTGTCCCTGGCCCACAGGAGTCCCCTCTCCCGTGCCCCCTCCCATTGCCCACCCTCTCCCCAGGGCTCCCATGTCTCCAGGGCCAGACGCTGCGGTGTGGAGAGGAGCAGCTTCCTGCGTCTGCAAAGACCCTGCTTCTGGGTCTTTCCTGCCTCTTGGGGCTTTGACGAACCCTGCAACCCTGCGCAGCAAAGGGCCCTGGTTTACTGTGTGGGGAGGCCCTGGGAGCCTCCTGAGCTTTCCCTCCCTTGGGCACCCTCCATGGCCTGACACTGGGGTCAGTGGCTCCGGGGTATCCGGTCAGTGGACGTCGCAGGTGGCGCAAGTCCTCCCTCTGCATGGCACTTGCTCACCTGAGGAGCCCTAGATGTAGTAGACAGGCACGTCGCCACACAGGGTGCTGGCCGGGATGCCCAGGAGGTCCGGGTCCCCTCGGGAAGGTGCTGCACCTGTGCCCTGCCCCTCCTCCTGACCCAGCTGGGAGCTGGGCGCTGTGGGCTGGGCCTGGAAAGAGCACTGGCCTGGAGTCTGCGAGCTGAGCCGACTCACCTGCAGCCCCCTCACAGACGTCAGGCAGGTGTCTGTCTCTCATTAAAGAGGGGACCTGCTGGTGTCGGGAGCCCCAGTGGTGGGGCCCGCAGCTTGGCAGTGGGGCCAGGTGGGAAATCAGAACAGAAGGCAAGTCTAGAGAGAGGCTGTCACCTGGCAGCCCCGCAGGAGCTGTGCTCTACAGGCGACAGGGGACCATCCACTCACATGCTCCTCCCAGCAGCCCTGGGAGGGAGAGAGCCCACCTTCCACCCACACACCTACCTGGAAGTTCTGGAATTTTCTTATGAGCGTATCGAGACTGGGGATGTTCACTGGAGCCATGTGCATGACGAGGCAGCTGGAGCCCGGGGCTGGCTTGTAGGCGACCAGGAGCTGGCAGGGACCGCCAGAGCTCACTGAGGAGGCCCTGCCTGTGCACCCCTACCTGGCCTCGGCCAGCTCCCTCTAGGCTGCGCGTGCAGCCACTAGAGTCTGAGGTGCAGGGGCCAGCAGATGGTGTGGTGATTAAAGGCATTGCACTCCCACATAGCCAACTACAGTTCAAATCTCAGACCTGGAGGCTTGAAAATGACAGTGGTCATTTCCAGTGTGGGTGCGGGTGTGCCCAGAAATCTCTCTCTCTCTTTTAGGTTTTTGCTATAGGGCACGTGTGCTTGCTAGAGAGACAGAAAGCAAGAAATCACCCTCCAGGGGGATGGCCACGCCACAATCCCTTCTCCTCCAGTCTCCTCTTGGAGTCCAGCGACATAGCCATTATGCCAACTGCTGGTCCCCTGCCCAGAATCTCAAGAGGAGAATGGAAGAGAAGGGATTACAACATGGCCATCCTCCTGGGGGAGATTCCTCACTTTCCTCCTCACTGTCTCCCCACCCCCACAAGCACATGTGCCCTGTGATGAAGTGGCATAGCTGGGTGGCCCTAGCAAGCCTGGTACTGCCCTCCCGCCCAGGGTCAGACGAGGCAGGCACACCTACCCGTTGGAAGTCGTACACCAGGTTGCCAGTGGAGCCGATGGAGAAGGTGGCCGTGGGACCCACACGCTCGCTCAGGGCCAGGCGTTGCTGGGCTTCCGGCGCCCCGATGCTCATCTCCAGAACCTAGGACGGGGCGTGGTGTGGCCAGCTGTCCCTCTTCCCACATCTGCCCTCAGCTGTCTTTACTCAGGTGCCGGGAGCCGGGTGCCGGAGGGAGCTGGCTGTCACACTTGGGGCGGGGGCCGGGGCAAAGCCCACGCCAGGCTGCCCTGTCCCCATCCTGCCGTCGGTGCCCCTTGTCTCCTCCCGCCCACTCCAGGCCCGCTCACCATCTCGGTGTGCTTCTGGCTCATGTGAAGACCCATGAGCAGGGCCCCCACGATCACCACGACGACAAGGACCACCACCACGACCACGATGAGCAGGCGTTTGAGGTGCACAGGGCAGCAGGGGATGCCGAGCCGGCTCCGGGGGGATGCGGAGTAGTCCTGGCACAACGGGACAGGCAGGGAGACAGACGTGACACCTTGAGGACACTCCCTCCTCTCATGCACACCCTCTTAGGGCTCAGGAGCCAAGGCTCTGGATGTGCAGAGGGGACTGAGGAGATCAGAGAAGGCTTCCTGGAGGAGTTGGGCTGGCTTCCAACAAACTGGTAGCTGCTCAGAGGCTTAGAAGCCTGGTGTAGTTTGGAGGGACTCGCCGTCTCATCTCCCCCAGGCTTTTGGCACCCCAGGTGGAAGTGCGAATCTGCCTTCTGCCTGAAGGGCTCCTCCACCTGGCGCTCACTGGAGCCCTGGAGCCAGCTCAGGTGGCATCCCCGGTGCTTCCTGTGACCCCATCACTTGCAGTGGCTCCTTACACGGTGCTCTCCGGCCCTTTGCATGGACCCTGTGCTCAGCCATTGGCTGCCACGTCGACCTCCCCAAGCTTCTACCTCAGTGGTCTTGGTGTCCCCATGGCAACTTAGCAGTTGAGTGAATTAAATCTGGATGAGGAGTCGGGCTACGGAGAATGGTGGAGACTAGCTACGGGGAATGGCAGCGATGGGGTATGAGGGGTTGAAAAGACGGACTTTGGGGATGGCAGGGACGGGCGATGGGGGATGGCGGGGACAGGTTTTGGAGGATAGCAGAGGCAGGGCCCGGCGCTCACTCACCCTCACTCACGCTCCCACGCACTCACTCACCGGAGGGCTCTCCATCAGGACCTCTTTGCTGCTCACTTCCATCTTGCCGCAGGGTGTCCTGTCCTCCTCTCCCAGGGGTGGCGGGGGAGAGGACATATATATGTGTCAGGGGAGAGGGGACAGAGGTGAAGGGCCGGGGCCTGTCTGCCAGCCAAGCCCTTGGCTTTGAAGCTTGTTTGTTCCTGTGCTCCAGAAGGAGACCCTGATAAGCCAGCTGTGAGGGCCCCGAGGGCCCTTGGCTCACACCGAGGGCTCTTGGCCCGGCAAGCACGAGCCCGAGCCGGGTGAGCTGAGCAGACTTGCCCTCGGGCCACCTGCACCTCCCCGTGGGCGTCTTCCTGGCATGCCCGCCACTCCTGCTGGCACCTGCCCCTGCATCCCTGTGGTTCCTTGTTCTCCTGCCAGGCTGAGACTCTGGGGGGGCCTAGGTCTGACCATCACATTCCCCACACAGAGGATGCCCTTGGGACGGGACTGAGGAGGCAGAACCGCCGTCCTCAGCGCAGGGCTAGGGAGGGTCTGCCTCGGCAAGAGAGGCGCTGACCTCAGCTCGTGGGGTTCATAAATGTGCACTTCCCTGGGGGCACCAGACGACCCTGCCTCCACCCACACACCCCGTACCCAACCTCAGACTGGCTCCATCTTCTTTTCCCCATTCTGGAACTGTTCCCGCTCCGGGGAACCGCTGGCTCAGGGGCAGCGGCCGCGGATTCCTGCCCCATGCGGCTGCGTGCCCCGACAGCCTTGGTCAGGGCCAGCTCTGGCCGCGAGGCTCCCCGTCTCCCCTGACCCTCATCCTCGAGCCAGCCTGTTCATTCCACACCATCACCCTGCCCTCTAGACTCTCCGCGCCCCTGGACCCTAAGGTTGCCCTGGGAATGCTCCTCGCCCAAGGCCATCCACTTTCGGGACCTTCTCATTCTCCCCCGTCCCTCTGTCCTGCTTTCAAGCCATCTCTGTCACTTAACCTACGATTCAAGTCTACCGACTCTGGGTGGCTGCACCCTCTCTCAGGACTCCTGCCCTTTTGGGTCAGGTGGTCTCTAAAGTCCCTTCCTTTCAGACTTCCATGAATGTGGGAGGCAGAGTCGGCCAGTTTGAATATGTCCAACCCACGGTTCGGTCACGTGACACGATGAAGGAGCAGACACTTGGCTCGATTGTGGTGTTGAAAAGTGGGGGCCTTGGGGAGCGATTGGGACCAAAGTCGCTAGGGTGAGCCCCCGTGGTTGAGTCCTGGAGGGTTTGTGGGGGTAGAACGGACAGCCCTTCTGCCCCGCTCTAGCCCTCACGGGAGGATGGAGACGGTAGGATGCCCGCCAGACACGGCCCCGGACCTCGGACCTCCACGCCACAAGCAGAGTAAATCTGTTTATTTTTACACCGGAGAGAGTGCATGTGCGCGTGCGTGTGCGCGTGCGCGTGCGTGTGCGTGGGGAGCACTCCGAATGCAGTCATGACCCTGCCATGCATTTCCTCCACTCTCCGTCCTGCCAGGGTCCCGGGCACAGGTGAGCTACCCAGTGTGGAGCCGAGGGGACTGAGATTCGAAGCTCGGCGGCGGCACCAGCTCCTGCTCCCTGGACAGGCCCACTGCTGCACCACTGGGCCGCCAGGCCCTCCTCATGTCCAGTCTCAGGTCATTCCCGTTCTTAGTGACAAGGTAGGCTAAAACAGAGCCTGCACCTCACTCTTTCAGCCTGGCTCCTTGTCCTCTTCTACGTTAGCATGTCACCCAATTCCTGTCGCTGGCCCTGGACGCTCACAGCCCGGGCCTGGCCCCCGGTCACGAGCTGGCCCCCACTCTCCAGCCCTGGCAGGCTCCCGTCTCCATAAGGACCCACTCTCCGGCTGGAGTTTGCACGCTGACATGGTAACTGAGTGGGAGCCCGGAGATGTTCAAGCCACATGAGGAGGGACAAGTATTTGCTCCCACCCCAGCTGCCCCTTCAAATATTTGCCTACACCTCCCGCAAAGACAGTGTCCCGGGCTGGGGAACGCAGGGGTGGGGTGGGGAGGGAGAAGGTCCCCCTCTCAGCTCTGCCTCAGCTGCGCACAGGTACCAGATGCAGCAGACAGCTGGGCCATGCCCACTGCTGCCCACCGGCCCAGGGCCCTGCCCTCGGTTGCCCTGGCAACTTCAGAACTGATGGGCTGACTCACACGTCCTGGGCCTGAGCCAGCAGAAGAGTGGCAGGGAACAGCGAGCAATCTCGGGGTCCCTGCGGGTGTCTTGGGAGGCTGTCCAGTCCCGTGGCAGGCTTCCCTGCAAAGAAGCCTCTGCTCTCTCCGGGCCTCAGCCTCCCCTGCAGGCTGCCCTCAGGCTGTGGTTCTCACAGTTGTTCTAACCCGTTTGCCTGCTTGGGGGCTGGGGGGCTGGGGGAGGGCCCCCTCGGTGATATAAGTGCGTTCATGCCTGCACCAACCTGATGAGGTCTCGGGACCTGGGAGACAGAGCAGGAGAGCCGTCAGCTGGGCCCGCACAGCCCTCCGTACCCGCACCCTGGCCAGCCCTGCATGGCCCCTCTGGAAGCCATTCCTCCCTCCTGAAAGGCCCACCACCCACTCCTGCCCCTCGCTGAAGCCCACCCACCCGGCCCCGCTCCATCAGCTCCCTGGCTCAGCCCACACCCTCCTCCTCGGGCCTCCTCGGGCCTCTCTGCTCACCTCCCCTGCCTTTAGCAGACAGAGACTTCCTGCCACCTGGCCCCTGGGAGCCCCTCTCTGCTCTCCCAATCAGGCTGGGTGCTGGGACAGAAACGGTCCCGCTCTCCTCTCACAAGAACCCACCCTGGGCAAGGGGCGTGCACCTGTGAGCACTCAGTTGCTTGCAGGGACGAGACTGTCACCGGCAGAGGGCCTCCTGCCATGTGTCCACAGTTTATACCTCCAGTTTGAGGCGGCCTCAGGGAGCTCTGGACCCACAGTGCGTCATTCTGCTTGGCTGGGCTTTCCCCGCCATCTGTGAAATGGGGCTAGGACGGCCTGTCCTGTCCACCTCATTGGCTCCTGCTGCGAGGACCCGGTGACGCCACTGCTGAGGAGGCCCAATCCACACCCTCTACTCCACCCCCACGGCGCCTCCCCCCAGCCTGGTTCCTGTTTGGCTGTCTCTGGGTGAACCCCACTGAGAACTGTGGGGACGGACAGCCTGAGGCAGCCACCCCACGTGCCTCCCTCTCCCTCCTCCCAGCCCCTCAGCTGCAGAGGACGGGACAAGATTCCCTTTGCCTTTTGTGTGCTGGGCAGAGCCGTGCCAGGGACGGGTGGGGACAGTGGCCCAGCTGCCCTGGCTGCTTCCCCACCTCCACCACGTGCCTTCCCATGAGCTGGCATGGGCAGGACCACGTGGGCAGCTGGACGGGCAGTGGCGAGTGGGCCCCAAAGGCAGGAGCATCCCGGGCTGGGAGAACATCCACTTGGACTTAGACCAGGGGACCCCTGCTGGCAGAGGCCGGGCAGCGGGGAGCCTCTCACTTCCCTGGGCTGCTACAGAGCCCAGGCACCTGACTCCCCGGCTCCACTCCTGCATTCATGCACTCTGGCGATGGGCGCCCCCTCCTCTAGGAGGTGGGTGTCCAGCAGTTCTCAAGTTTATTGGTTTCAGGACCACTGAACACTCTAAAACTTATGTTTCTAATAATTATTCATTTAATTTATTATTATTACTTTTCAATTTGACCAGAGAGAAACAGAGAGAGAGAGAGAGAGAGAGTGAGAAAGTGAGAAAGCAAGCCACCAGGTCCAGGACTCAAACCACAGTTGACCATGTGGGAGTCCAGCACCCTAACCACTATGCCACCTGCTGGCCCCAACACTCTTAAAAACTATTAAGAACCCCAAGGAGCTTTTGTTCATGTAGGTCATATGAAGAGTTTTCAAACAACTCATGGAAAATATATATTACTGAAAAACCATGAGTGATTTCAACTTTTTTTTCTTTCGCTTTTTGCCCTAGGGTATGTGCACTCGCTGGAGAGAGATATAGAAAGGGAACATGAGAAATCACCCCCGGAGGGGATGGCCACTCTGCAATTCCTTCTCCCCCACTCTCCTCTCAGGATTGGGGGCATGCACACACATGCCTGGCATGATTTTTCAAGGCCTGGGACTGCTCAGCCATGCAGGAGTCCAGCGCTTTACAACCATGCTACCTGCTCGCCCCAATTTCAAATTGCAATTTTTTTGGAACCAACATAAACTCATACTCCAGTTGCATTTTCTCATGAACTTTGTGAAGATTACTTTGACCTACTGAAATTTACAAGAATCTTTATTTTAATTACGTCAGAGAATATATGCATGCACGTAAGAGAAAGCGGGAGATTAAGCAGCCCTCGAGGGGCCTGGTCACGCTGCAGTCTTTTCTCCTTCGATTCTCCATGTCATCAGGGTTCTGGGCCATGCGTGACACTGACTGGCTGGACTCAGACCTCAGTGGACATGAGGGACCCAGTTTCCTCTGTGCTAAGGCGCCAGCCCAACTGAGAAAAAAAAATTTTTTTTTTTTGGCCATAGGGTGTGTGTGCTTCCTGGAGAGAGACAGAGACAGAGCAAAGGGAAGTGAGAAGTCACTCATGCCCCGGGGGGAAGCCACTCCACAATCCCTTCTCCTCCATACTCAAGATGTGGGGCACTCAGGCGCATGCCTCCAGCGTGATCTTCCAGCTGCTGGCGGCGGTGGACCATGTGGGAGTCCAACCCTTAACCACTATGCCACCCGCTAGCCCTCCAACTGAGAAAAATTTAGCTTTAGGGGCCAGCAGATAGCATGATGGTTAAGGTGCTGGATTCCCACATGGCTGACCCTGGTTGGAGTGTTAAGGTGCTCAATTTGTTCTCTCTCTCTCTCTCTCTCTCTCCTTCCTTCTCTCATCAAATTAAATAATAATACTCACAAATTAAAGAAATAAATATTTTTTAAAACTTAGTTTTAGTTTTTCTTTATTATATTTATTTATGTTTGTTTATTTACTTTGAAAGAATTATTTAATTTTATTTATTACTATTGTTATTATTTTAATTTTTAATTTGCTACAGGGCACATGTGCCCATTGGAGAGACAGGAGAGAGAGAGCGAGAGAGCGAGAGCGAGAAAGTGAGAAAGCAAGCTGCCAGATCCAGGCTTCTAACTGTGGTTGGCCATGTGCGAGTCCAGCGACGTAACCACCACACCACTTACTAGCCCTATTTACGTTTTCAGTATTGCTATAGGGTGTGTGTGCTCGCCAGAGTCAGAGAGTGAGAAGGAGGGAAAGTAAGAAATCACCCCCAGGGGGTGGCCACGCTGCAATCCCTTCTCCTCCAGTCTCCTCCTGGGATTCTGGGCACAAGTACACATGCTCTTGACGTGTCCTCCAAGCTACTGGGTCCAGGACTCAACTGTGCGGTTGGCCGTGTGTGGTCCAGTTTCCTTAACCACATGCCACTGACCAGCTCAGAAAAATTTTCTCTTTTTTCTTCTTTTTGAGAGAGATCTTTGCAATAGGGCGCATGCGCTCACCAGAGAGACAAAGCTAGAACTCACCCGGCCGGGGCTGGCCACACTGCAATCCCTTCTCTTCTGTTTTCCCCTTGGGATTTGGGGCATGCATGCACATGCACCAGGTGTGATTTTCAAGCCACTAGGTCTGGGACTCAAGCCGCGGTCAGCCATGTGGGGATCCAGTGACGCATACTACACCATCTGCTGTCCCCGGCACAGGAAAATTTTTGATATTTACTTATTTATTTTTTTAAATTGCAATAATAAACTTGTTATAACATAAATCAATACATTTTTACATGAAAATAACTATTTTACAAAGCAAAAAAATAAAGTTAAAGAGAAGAGTGTCATTGTTTTACACCTTTGCTAATCTCCTTAATGTCACTCTTAATACTGGGTCATCAGAAAAGTCATGACACATTTTCCTATGCATAGAAAAGTCATGACATTTCCGACAACCCAAGAGATGACAGACCACGTAGCCTCTGGAAAATTCCAGGGTACATTTGGGGATTGCTTTGACCTCCGTGATTCCTCGAAAGATTCTCAAGGGCCTTGGGGGGGTCCCAGGACCACACTTTGAAAACCTGGCGTAGGGCAGCTGTGAGGTTTGCAGTGGGACAGAGTGGGCTCAAAGCCCTCCTCTGTCACGTTTTCCTCCCCATCTGTTCTTATCTGTGAGCTGGGGAGACATCACCTGCCTCGAAGGGTTGTCGGGGTCAGCTCCTGGGTGCTAGTCACACAGTAGTCTGGGCTGGGCAGTTCTCCCCTGTCTTGGGGACCTCAGTTTCCTTATTTGTTACGCAAAAGCTGCACTGGAACGCTTCCAAGGAGCTTCCTGGTCCGACGGGGGGGGGGGTGGGGGGGGGAGGTATGGGGGGGGTGGGGGGTGGCGAGGAATGTTCCCGAGGCCACCTCTGCCCCCTCCAGCCCTGCTGGCGCCGGTCCCTGTCGGCCCACACCAAGCCGTCTTCTCAGCAGCCCATGGAAAGACGGGTGAATGCAGATATAAGCCACGAGACTGCAGCCCCTTCGCGCTGATCTTGCAAGCTAACCGAGACAGGCATATGTCACTTACGACAGGCCTGTGAACTGCTCAGAGGCTGTGTCCCGTCACAGCCGGAACACGCGTGGACATAGAGGCATTCGGATCCGAAACCCTGAAACGGCTTGAGAGGAATGCGAGCGAGTGTCGGTGCAGAGACGGGTGTGCACACGTGCACGCAGTCATGCACAACACGCGAATACACACGGATACGCTCACACACATGCACTCACACAGACGCCCGGGGTACCAGACCCTCAGGCAGATGGCCCCAGAGGCCCAGCTCTGTGGGGCAGACGGCGGGGGCCGCAACCACTCCTTCTCCGGCTACTCCC